TTGGGTTAATGTTTTTTAGCAAGAAAATAAAGTAAAAATGAAGATTTGTGAATTGGTGTATGTGTGAGGAGAGAAAACGCAGTTATTGAAGAGGAAGAAAAAGGAAATTATGAAGTGGAACTCGCATTTTCTTGTTTTGTACCATGAGAAGAATACGCGACTTGGAATACGCAACTTCTAGTTGCATATTCTCAAGGCGCACTTTCAATGGAAAATTTACCAAACAAAATACGTGACTTCTAGTTTATAGTCTCCCAATTAGCACTCTTGTTTATAGTTATTGGCTCGACTCAAAAGGATTGGCTCATCTCATTGAAGAAAAATCATCCAAAGGACATACAAGTCCTTTGGGAACGATTTCACCCTGCCAAATAGGGTTTCAATAGTTGACCGTTGACCTTGAACCGTTCATTTCTAGCATTCACCACTTCAATGGCCCCATAAGGAAATACTTGAGTGACTTCAAATGGTCCCAATCACCTTAAATTTTAGTTTTTTGGGAAACAACCTAAGGCGTGAATTGTATAAGAGCACTTTTTGCCCCACCTCAAATTATTTGGATACGTGATCCTTATCATGCCAATATTTCATTTTTTCGTTATAAATTTTTGCATTCTCGTAAGCATGTAGCTGGTGTTCCTCAAGTTCGCTCAACTCAAATAGTCTCCTCCCACCTGCAAGATGTAAATCCATGTTAATCATTTTAATCGCCCAATATGCTTTATGTTCGATCTCTACAGGTAAATGACAAGTTTTTTCAAATGCTAATCGATACGGCGACATCCCCAAATGTGTCTTAAATGCCGTTTGATAAGCCCATAATGCATCATCGAGTCGTCTTGTCCAATCCTTCCTTGATTTGTTAACCGTTTTCTCCAAGATGAGCTTGATCTCTCGGTTGGCTAACTCAGCTTGTCCGTTTGCTTGTGGGTGGTATGGTAGTGATGTCTTGTGCCTACAACCATACTTAAGTAATAAAGAATCAAATTGATTATTATAAAAGTGCTTTCTTTCATCACTTACTATGGCTCTAGGAATCATTTGTAGGTGAGACAATTGCCTACACCCATTTAGAAATATAATCCACAACCACTAAGATGTACTTATTGTTAAAAGAATTAGAAAATGGCCCCATGAAATCTATACCCCACATATCAAATAACTCTACTTCTAAAAATGTGGTTAAGGACATTTCATTTTTCCTCAAAATATTTCCAGTTCTTTGGCAGGCATCACAACTTTTAACATATTCCCTAACATCCTGGTACATGGTAGGCCAATAAAATCCTGATTGCCACACCTTAGATACGGTTTTAGAAGTACTAAAATGACCCTCCGTTTCTAAGTTATGACAATAATGTAAAATATCACGTACCTCATCCTCAGGAATATATTTTCTTACCATACCATCGGCACAATACTTGTAGAGTAGTGGTTCCTCCCAGAAATAGTTTTTAGCATCATGCAAAAATTTCTTCCTTTGATGATAATTGAATGCTCTTGGAATTACTCCACTTACCAAAAAGTTAGCAAAGTCTGCATGGAGATTTAGTTAAAACTAGAACAAATTCGTCCAACAAATTTTGCTTGATTGGAACTTGATCATTGGTAGGGATGTACTCTAATCGCGACAAGTGATCTGCCACAAGGTTCTCCAATCCCTTTTTATCATTTATTTTCAAGTCAAATTCCTGCAATAAAATAATTCAACGAATTAAGCGCGGTTTTGCATCTTTTTTTATGGAGCAAGTATTTAAGAGTTAAATGGCCTGTATAAATAATAACTTTAGATTCTACTAAGTAGGATCTAAATTTATTTAAAGCAAATATCACCGCCAAAAGCTCCTTTTTCTGTGGTTGCATAGTTAATTTGTGTTTCATTTAGCACTTTTCTTGCATAATAAATCACATGCAACCTTCCCTCCTTTCGTTGACCTAATACTACTCCAATTGCATAATCGATTGCATCACACATGAGTTCAAATTGAAGGGACCAATCCAGTGAAGTGATGATCGGTGTTGAGATCAACTCTTTCTTCAACCTGTCAAAAGCTATCAAACAATTATCATCAAAATGAAATGGAGTATCATTGCATAGTAAATCACATAATGGCTTAACTATTTTGGAAAAATCCTTAATAAAATGTCTATAAAAACCCGCATGTCCAAGAAAGTTTCTTATCCCCTTGACATTAGTTGGAGGTGGCATTCGCTCAATCACTTTTATGTTTGCCTTATCCACCTCGATTCCTTGAGATGAAATCTTGTGTCCAAGAACAATTCCTTCCCGAACCATAAAATGGCATTTTTCCCAATTAAGCACAACATTGGTCTCCTCACATCTCTGCAAAATTAAATCCAAATTGTAAAGACAATGATCAAATGATGAACCATACACTGAAAAATCATCCATGAAAATCTCCATAATTTTCTCTATATAATCAAAAAAAATTACTATCATGTGACGCTAGAATGTAGCAGGGGCATTGCAAAGGTCAAATGGCACTCTTCTAAAAGCAAATGTGCCATGTGGACAAGTAAATGTAGTCTTTTCTTGATCTTCGGGAGCTATTGCTATTTGGTTATAATTTGAAAATTTATCAAGGAAATAATAAAATTCATAACTAGTATACACTCCAATAATTGATCAAGAAAAGGTAGGGGAAAGTGTTCTTTTCTTGGAACTGCATTTAGCTTCCTATAATCAATACACAATCGCCATCCTACCACAGGTCTAGAGGGAATAAGTTCATTATTTTTTTCTTTAATTATGGTGGTTCCATCTTTCTTTGGAACAACATGAATAGGACTTATCCATACACCATCTGAGATGAGGAAGATTATACCTGCATCCAACCACTTGATAATTTCTAATCTTACCACTTCTTTCATGTTCGGATTAAACCGTCTTTGCATTTCAACCACTGGTTTGCAATTCTCCTCCAAAAGAATGTGATGCATGCATATAGAAGGGCTAATTTCTTGTATGTCGAAGATGGTCCATCTGATAGACTTCTTGTGCTTCCTTAAAACTCTTAACAACTTATTGAGTTGCTTTTCTTCCAAATAAGTACTGACAATCACTGGTAGAGTTTTATTTTCAACAAGAAACTTATACTTCAAGTGGCTAGGAAGTGGCTTGAATTCAAATTTTGGAGTTTCTATCTCCGAAGGTGATGGAAATCCCTTTCCTTGTCCAAGATTTTCATACACACACCTTTCCTATAAGCAGGTTGTGCATCAAGATATTGGGCCAATGCTTCACTTTCTTCATCATTTTCCTCTTGCATCCCTGCATTTGATAAACATAGCTCAAGAGGATCGACATCAAAATTGATGCGATCTAATTCTTGGGTTAACATATCAATTGTGTCAATTGAACAAGTATGACCAGTAAAAGAAGGGTACTTTTTCATTTCATTCAAATTGAATACTACCTTTTCTTTACTTATTTGAAACTTAAGCTTGTCTTTTTTGACATCAATAATAATACCCGCAGTTGTTAAAAATGGTCGATATAAAATTATTGGCATAGACTTATCTTCCTCCATATCTAATGGCACAAAATCCACAAGAATGATAAATTTTTGAATTTTAATCAGCACATTCTCCAAAACTCCTAATGGATAACTAATAGATCGATCTGTTAACTGCAAAGTAATATTCGTGTGTTTTAACTCATGCAACCCTAATTGTCTAGCCACCATTAAGGGAATTAATGATACGCTTGAAAATTAATGATACGCCTTTGAAAACTCAATGTTACCGATATTGTAGGGTATAGAGAAGCTCCCTAGATCTTTCAATTTTGGTGGCAGCTTGCTTTGTATAATGGCACTGCATTCCTCCTTTAATGCTATCGTTTCCCGATCATCCAATCTCCTCTTTTATGTCATAACCTCCTTCAAAAACTTGGCATATGAAGGAATTCGTAAAATAGCATCAACGAAGGGAATAATAGTATGCAATTGTTTGAAAATTTTGTAAAAATTTTCAAACTCTTTGTCAAGTTTATTTGGCTTGAGCAAAATTTTCAAACTCTTTGTCAAGTTTATTTGGCTTGAGTCATTGAGAAAATAACACTGTTGGAGGTATTGGAATGGTAGTGGAGGATATTGATTGTTTTTCTTCCAATTTCTCTTTACTACCTTCCCCTACAATTACCTCTTTCTCCAATTGCTCATCTCCTCCTTTATCACTCTCTTCGTTCACCTTATTTTCCAATACCGGAGGGTCCTCTAGTTGTTTATCACTACGAAGAGTAATGGTCTTGACATGTTCCTTAGGACTCATCTCCGTTTTACTTGGCAATTCCCCTTGATTTTGATTTTTGATAGAATTGGCAATTTGACCAATCTGGACCTCGACATTTCTGTACATTCCAGTCAATTGATCCAACCATCTCTCTATTCACTCAAATCTCTCTGAAGTTTCCTTTGCCAATTTTTCCACTGCAATCTCCCAATCCGGCTTAGTATTCGTATGTTGTGGCCTTGGTTGGAATTCCGGCGAATTATTGGGCCTTTGAGGATTGCCTTGCTCTTTCCATCCAAAATTGGGATGATTCCTCCACCTTGGATTGTATGTATTTGAGTATGGATTGTTTTAACTATTCATGTTGTAATTATTAACAAATTGAACCTGATCAACATCAACATACTCGTTAGAATCGTGTTCTCCTCCACATATGGAACAACAAGCAACATGTGCATTAACAGAAGAACTTGGACCATATCTGGTTTGATGATGCAACATTTGCATCATATTATTCATTTGAGCACTAAGCATATTGATAGCATCAGTTTCAATCATACCTGTTTGTCGCCTTGGATTACCTCTTTCATTAGTCCATTGATAATTATTGGCCGCCATTTCTTTAATCGAACTTTGAGGTTCTTGAGGTGATTTTGCAATCAATACTCCCCCTACGGCTACATCGATAGTAGTTTTAGTAGAGAAAGATAAACCGTTATAGAAATTTGCACAATAAACCATCGAGAAATCCATGGTGTGGACATCTCCGAAACAATTTTCTAAACCATTCCCAAGTTTCATACAACGATTCACCATCGAATTGACTAAAACTAATAATATCCATTCTAAATTTAGCTTTTTTACCCGGTGGAAAGTATTTATTCAAAAATATCCTAGACAAATCATCCCAAGTGGCGAACGTATCAGGAGCATAAGAATGTAACCAAATTTTAGCCTTATCCCTCAATGAAAATGGGAACAACCTTAGCCTTATTACATCCTCACTAACTCCATTCATTTTAATAGTGTCACATATCTCCAAAAATGAGCCTAAGTATGCATTAGAATCCTCTACGGCATTACCTCTAAATTAAGATTATTGAACCATTAATATATTGCCACGCTATACTTGTTTGGGATCCTTGAGTTCTCGACGGAGCGAAATCCCTTAGAGCTCACTTATTTGTTTCGTTTTCCACCATTTCTTCTTCAAAAGATAGCTCTATTGCGATTCCATCAATTTGATGAATCTCTTCCTCTTCTTGTTGTGGTGTACACCTTCTTTGTCTACATAGTGTCCTTTTAATTTTCAAATCAAAAGGTACTACTACCTATAAAGTCCTGTGCATACACTACAAACAAGAATAAAAGAGATTATATGGCAATTAATTCACAAAAAATAATAAAAGTCCTAACTTAACTATAAACAAATTAAGTAATAAATAGAAATAATGTCTAAATTAATAAAACTAATTAGACCCTAATATTGCCGCTCCCTGGTAACGGTGCCAAAAACTTGGCAGGTTTTTTATATAAGTACTAGTTTAATTCCGAATTATACCCGTTTTGACTGCAAGTATACAGGTCAAATTAGTAGTTCTAGGGTAAATATCGGGTCGATCCCATGGAGAGCGATTTTTCAAGTACTAGGTCCTCACATACTCTATTATTTAGACCAACAATTAATTTGAGCAGAAAAAGTTATAACTACCACTAGCTAATTAATTCTAACTAGGTGTTCGCAAGATAACAATGAAGAAAATTCGCTAAAATTTGAGTCTAGGGATATAGATTCCACTTATGGCATTAGCAACACAAATAAATAGATTTACCTCTTGTTACAATCCTTGTTTAACGAGGAATTCATTTCCAATATTACCAAATCTCATTCTCATGATAAAATGACTTAGAATAGACTAGTTTTACCTATTCTCATGGTGAATAACTAAATCTACTCTTGTTCACTTCATAAAATGCAAGTTAATCCACTTAAGTGTATCTCTATTCTCATAAGTCTACTACTTAAACCCTATTCATGTTGTTCCATCATTATATCCAACTTTCATTGAATAATAACAACTACAAACTTGTTATTGGTGATCAAGCAACAATAAGTGGTAAGCATGCACAAATAGAAAAGTTGATACAAAAGGTAATAAGTGTAAATCATATTCACTTCATATCAAGTAGCCATAAGTTTCATCTACTCCCTAGATCTAGAAATTTAGCTATTCATGTAAGATAGAACAAGTAAACTCATAGTTTCATTGCATGAACATATAATAAATCACAAGTTAAAGATAGATAAAGAAAGTTTAGCGAAAATAATGAAGAAACTCCCAATAATCTTCAATTCCTTCAACAACAATGGTGTACAATGATATCTCTAATTATTATCACAAAAAGTGCTAACTAGAGTGAACAAGACAAGACGTTCTTCTAGTTCTTATGATAAAATCTGATATGCTTTCTCTAAGATATCCTACTCTCTTCCTCCTAATGATTTCTATTCTTCTAATTGTTAAGAGAGTCAAAAAGGTGGTTTTGGACAAGACATAAAACTCCTTTTCTCTTCCTTTTGGAATCTGAAACATGTGCACCCGAAATTCTTTCTCCAACTATAGCTAGAAAGTAGTGTAAAAACAAGGCAAGTGGCTGAGCAAGTTGCAAAAATCAGGCTACAATATGCGACTACAACTCACGTATTCAGTAGTCGCGTATTCACTTATGCGAATTTGGCTTCACTTCAACTACTATTTTCTCTATGATGGATGCTAAACTAGCTCTTGTGCAAAACATAAAAGTTATAGATCTTTGAGTTAGATTTTCAATGCTTTAAGAATCATCCAATTTGGAATTCTGTGAAATGAGAAATGGCCAAAATACCCTCAACTAGTCAATCCCCTGTTTTAACTCTCAACCATACAAATAAGCTTCTGTGTTTCGACTTTTTGACTGGGAAAAAAACTGAATTGGACTTTGATGTCCTATACCAAATGTAGATCTATATCTTAGCTTCAAAATGGTATAAAGGTCACCTCAATCTGATCATTGTAGTTCAAGATATTGCCAAAATACGATAAGGTGTCCAAGTTGCTTACACTTGCATTTCTTGCTTTGGATGCTTTGCACTTCATGTCTCCTTTTAACCTCTTCCAAGTATCAATTATCATCTAATTGTCTTCTCAATTCATGCCGTTTGATGGTCAAATTATAAAACCTACAAAAACATGAAGTTTTTACCATAAAAATCTATAGAAATGCACTTTTGCCACTTAAACCACACAATGTACGATTTTAACCAAAGCCCTAATTAATTAGCTATAAAACTCATTAAAACAAACCAAAAACTAACTAATAAAATGCACTAAAAATATGTAAAATATACACTTATCAGTGTCGGCTTTCGCATCAAAAAGTAGCGATAGCTATGAGTATGTAGTCCTTAAACGATGAGAGTTGAGTAACTAAGTTCCTTCATTTGGTAAATGTCGGAATTCACGTCAAAAAGTTTGAATGGCTAGAGAATAAGCATTCCCCTTGAAAAAAAACTCAAGTGTGAGAATATTTTAGAAAAGAAAAAAAGATCTACTAATAGTAAAAAAATGTAGAAGTGTGTGAACGAATTTTTAGCATGCTGATCTATGAGATTTAACATTGATATTTTGCTTAATAGTTGAACCATTTGCTAACGAATGCTAGTTGAATTCTTAGTTTAGTTAGTTGAAAATTGGAAAAGTCTCTGGTTTTAAAAGCTAACTAGAGAGATATTTCTTAGAAATTAACCACTAATACTTGACATGTGTTTTGATTGTATTTTGGCAATAGATGATTTGAGTAATAGTCATTGTTTGAACTCAATGACTTAGTGTTACTTGATTAGTTGTTCTCATACTTGAGAACAAACATAGTTTAGGTGTGAGAGAATTGATAGGTTGCATTTTTATCATTTAATTTATGAACATTTTTCCCTTGATTTCAGCTAAAATTCCATTAATGGGTGGATTCTACTTATATTTTAGTGTTTAATATTGGTTGTAGGGATCCGCAGCAAAATGGCATTAACAACATGATTTTTAATTGGATTTTTGTGCAATTCAGGGTGGGTGCATCAAATTTAATTTTGCATATCTGAAGGTTCAGGATTTGGCACGTGATTTTCAAATTTTAAATTCACGTTGCAAGAATCAGTTGTTCCATCGACTGGAAGTCTTCTATTCTTACTAGGATATTAGTCAATTTATCTATTAGAACTATTAGAAATTTTTTTTTATGGAAAAAGAGATATTGACTTCTTGTCAATTTTGATTTCTCTTGGTATTAGTATTTTAGTAGAAGTAGGAAACACAACAGCAGGAGGCATTATCGTTCCTTTAATCTTTTCTTTTCTCCGAGCGAGAGAATTAGCAGGAGTAGTGGTACTAGTTTAGGAAAAGAAAAGAAACGTAAGGATGAAGGACTCTTGGCTTTCGTAGACATGACATTTCTTTTGGGGCATCAGATGCAACCCCTAAAAGGAAACCGTTTAGTTAGGAAGAAATATTAAAACGAAATTAATTAAAATTAATTTCTGTTCCTAAGACCCAAGTGCCCAAGTGCCAATCTTTTGACCATTAAATTTATATTTTAATTTAATAGTCAACATGACAAATGCATGTGAAATTTTGAAGTTTCCCTCCAAAATTTCCTATTATCCAAATTGATTTGAATAAGTGTGCACTTGATTATAAACCTCTTCTATTCTTCGTGTCTTTTCGATGTGGGATTCATCACTAACTATTTCCAACAATCCCCCACTTAGTTAGTGATGAATCAATTCAAAACAGTTTAAGACTTATGCATAAAATAGGTGTCTTTCGACTTAAACCTATTATTAGTATAATTATTTCAAAACCTTGTTGAAATTGATGGTAATTATAAATTTTTAACCATAATTCCTAGATAACAAGGTCGGAAATAACTATACACACAAATCTTACTTATTTCTCGTAAAACGTTCACCGTGAGCTTTAGCACCGTATTATGGCCTTGTGCTACTTCCTGATTCACGAACTCTTACAAAAGTTTTAGACCAAACTTTTGATAAAAGCGGCACCACCTCTTGAGTTCATATAGGTGAAGTCTACTTTGAAGTCTTTGATTAGACTTCCTTGTTCTTATACCAAACATATGTACTTCATTAAGAATAATTATTATTATTTAACCTCCCATTCTCTTAAGTACTTATCCAGTTACCGATACTTGCTAACTGTCAAACAATAATTTGTTGTTACCTATTAAACCTTTAGAATTGCCTAGCAATAGGAAAGGTTAGGTTACTATCATTGCTGACAATTTTAGAATGGTCTCAGACCCATAGCACTGGTAGTGCTTTTGATCATATCTCTTGGGAGTCCTCTAGTTAAAGGATCAGCAAGATTATTACCAGACTTGACATAGACAACTGTTATAATTCCATCAGAAATTAATTGTCTTACATATTCATGTCTCAAAGCAATATGTCTAGATTTACCATTATAAATCTTGCTAAATGTCCTAGACATAGTTGCTTCACTATCGCAGTGTAAAGAGATGGCTGACATCGGTTGTGGCCACAACTCTATATCTAGCAATAAATTCCTCAGCCATTCTGCCTCTTTACCTGCTGCTGCTAATGCAACAAACTCAGACTCCATAGTTGAATGAGTAATACATGTCTGTTTCTTAGAAGCCCACGAGATAGCTCCTCCGCCTATTTTAAAGATCCAACCAGATGTTGATTTATTATCTTTTATACTAGTTATCCAACTAGCATCACAGTAACCTTCAAGTACCGAAGGAAACTTGTTATAATATAATCCAAAAGACTTTGTC